TGTGATCTCGCATTTTAAAGTTAAGCTCGATTCGGAGTTCTACTACCACCCGTCCAAACGAACGGGGGCGTAGCCGTATATCGTACGGCACGAATCGCGAGAATTTAGTCGCGATATATGAAAATAGAGAACAAATTCCGGAGCAAAAGTAAGATCTAATTTTGTGCTAATGAAGTAATTATTAATCCTTTGAAGAGCGACAGAATGTCAAAATTTGAGATGAACGGCACGAACTCCAACAGTAATATCTCTTTCTCTAAATCGCTGAATATATTTCTAAGGAGTAGAACATCTTTGCAGAATTATTGGAACGGCAAAACATAACGTTGTTACGCTCCCGACCTATCACTTTCTCTATGTATTCCGTTCAGAGGTGACTGAAGTCCGCAGTTCATCTGTGTTACGCTCCCGCACTCTCTCTTTTTGTTTCTATCTCGTTTCGAAGTGCCTAACATCAAAGTTAATCGGTGTTTCGCTCCCGCTTTCAATTTTTTGTCCGCTATAGTGCACAGTGGTCCGTGGTCTGTGATAATGGCTTTCTTTTCATTGAAAAATTGTAAGAAAGTTATCTCGGCCGGACAGCAGAGTATTCCATGCCATGTGATAAAATTTATCACGCAAAAAGTCTTGGCTATTCTGGCCTGGTTACCGATGCCATCGATAAAAGGAGTGGCCTACGCTACTATTGCGATGAGTGCATCGTATATGAGAACCAGGCAATATCTATTAGCCGGCTCACAAAAAGCAGCGTTACGGAAGTAGTTCGGAACTGCCATAAAAATATGGACCTGCTCGTGGCGCTTGAATCGCAGCTCACTAGTCGAATGCTAGCTGAGCCCGATTCCCAAAAGCGCACAAAAGGCGCAGTTGGAGGGCAAATTCTAAAGTACCAAAAAAGGTGGCATGTGTTGTACGAAAAACGGTAACTTGTGTTCAAATGACCCAGCTTAAAAATTGTATTTGTTTCACGGCTCGCTCCAGACCTCTTATCAATGGATATTAAATCCGTTACAAAATCCAAGTTGATGATTTGAAGGTCGAACAATTTACATTTTCTTATGCTAGGAAAGTATCATCATTTAAGATTGCTATTCCTTGAGTTCATTTCACGTCTGTGTGTTCCGCCAAATTCTGGCCTGAGGGCATATTTGCAAAAGAGTACGAAGCAAAGAGAAAAAAGAATAGTTCAATCCCTAGCCCCCTCCGCATCCTCTTTTGTCCCAAAAACTATCCTCCTCCTTTCTTCTTTCCTATCAGAGTTATTTAGTAAGCTGACTAAATTGTACTCGGATAGTTTTTCCTTCACATATTATATTATCCGGTTAAAGCCGGATATTCTTAGCTCCAAAATTTTCCCGGGTAAGTACACAATTTGTAGGCTTAATCGTCGGTCCAGACGGGGAGTTGGAGTCTTGATTGCTGTCGACTCAACCCTTTCATCTGAATTACTGACTTTTGAAGAATTTAATGACATCGAATTTGTATGTATTACTTGTTCATATATCCCACCATCATCTTCCCAATTTACGCAAATCACCTTTCCGTTATTCAGCCCATTTCCAAAAAACTTTCAGATCGAGATAAGTTAAAAGTATTAGGTGATTTCAATATACCTAGTGCGACATGGTCTCCAGACGAAAACTCCAATATTTTACTTGCTTGACATTGACCATGTTAAAAACTTCTCAGGACGTTAACTGGTCTATTAAGAACGTCACCAATTACACAACCGGAGGATCCCTATCACCCTAATCTAGATCTAACTGTAGATGCGATCAGAACTGAATAAAAAATCCGAAAAGTCTGTTAAACGAATCCGCTGCTTTCGTAAGGCAAACTTTCATCTTTTAAATACTTTTATATCCGGCTATGACTGGTCCGAATTTTATTCATGCAATAACGTGGCTAAGGCCGTTAATATCTTTTATAATGCATTGAATTCCTTTTTTTTATCTGTGTGTTCCGTTATACTATCCGTCAATTTCAAATAAACCTCCGTGGTTTAATAAAGAGTTGTCACACCTAAAAAATAATAAGTCCAGACTTTTCAATAAATTTAAAATGTGCGGTTCACAATCTGCCTTCTCTCGATGCCTAAGGGCTCTGTCAAATTTTACCGTGCTTAGTGCCCGGTGTTATAAAAGCTATCTGACTTGTTGTAGGGTCCAATTTTCACCAGATCCAAAACAGTTTTATAATTTGGTTAACACTAAGCGTAAGTCAGCCACCATCGCTAACATTTAAAAGAACTACGGCAAAAACTGATCAGGTAATTGACGATCTATTTTCCACGTTTTTCCACACAACATCTTCTGTTTCATCCCGTCCAAATCCGTCTTATTCATATGCCATATCCAAGTTAAACAAAAGTTTTTGTCCGAGGTTAAGCGAAAGCTCCCTTCTCTTGGATCCTCATAAAGGTAAACCAGTCTATTCACCGGGTCCCGACGGAGTTCCGGGCTGCGTTCTTAGATACTGTGCTGAAACTCTGTGTAGACCTCTGCACAAATTATTTACCTTTTATTATTACCTTCATAAGAAAGAAAATAAATCGAATAGAAGCAATTACAGAGGCATATCCAAATTATCCGTCATCCCAAAGCTTTTCGAAAACGTTATTACACCCCACTTGCAAAAAATGTGTAGATCCATGTCAACATGGATTTATAAGGAGAAGATCTAGGACGACAAACCGCTTGGAGCTAAAGTCTTTTGTAATAAATGGCTTCAGAAGGAACAGCTAGACTTATTACGTGGAAACCCATGTGATCTTCTAACATGGATCTTAAGTTACTCAACGAGTCCTCTTTAAAAACTCTATCTCTAATTTTATCCGAGTTACTTCAGGCGTCCCATAAGGAAACTACCTTGACCCACTTCTTTTTACTTTATTTATTAATGATCTCCATCTAGTCTTTTTGAACATGGTGTGATTTGTGAAAATCTTTTGGATTTAAATAGCGCTAAGTGTAAAATAATGCCATTTTTTGGGTGAATACACAATATGCCACGTATATGCTGGGTCTAGAATCACGCATGTTGATGACCTTGGCATCCTTCTTGACCCACAACTTAAGTTTTGTGACCATGTTACTTCCATGGTAAATAAACGCAGGGGAATAATTGGATTTATTAAAGGGTGGTCAAAGAAATTCGATGATCTCTATGTTACAAAGACTCTGTTCATTTCACTAGTCCGTCCAATCCTGGAGTACTGTTCAGCAGTTTGGTGTCCTCAGTGTTGTGTACATATAGACCGGATAGAGTCTGTACAAAATAACTTTTTATTATTTGCTCTACGGGGACATAACTGGAATGCAAGCCTTATTTTACCATCCTACTCTAGTAGACTTCTTCTAATTAATCTAATTCTCATAAACCGTAGACCGTGAAATAAAAAAACTTCGGAGCTTAGCATTTTCGGCTTTTACCGTGTTTCTAAAAAAATTACGTGAATCTGAATTTTGTTCTGTTTTCGATATAAAACAATATATCAGGAGAAGGTTGATTATGGGAAAGCTTAAAAAAATAATATTGGTTTCTCTAGTGGAAGCACAGACGTAAGGGAGGCGGATCTTAATCTTCAGGAAATTGAACTTTGGCTTCAAGGCAATTTATATGAAGATTTACAAGGGCCGACTCCACCTCTCTGGGTAATCTTGGCGGCAGCCCATTAGTTCGCGGCGGGATCCAACTTTATCAAGCTTGCTAGGTAGCTGGCAACTACATGGTGAATGAAGAATAAGAGATCGATTATGATCTACTGGGTGGCAAGAGCGTTCAGCGTGGAGCTGATTTGTCAATAGTTCCAAAAATGTAATTTTTGACATTCAATTTGCGTTTGCAATCTTGTCTCTTCCGTTGTGGATGACTGTTTTTTAGATAAAAAGTTCAAAATATACAATATATACTCGATAACACAACTTGAGATAGAAACAGCAAATGTCATCGGTGAAAAATTATGAGAAAATTTGGGAAGGTAGGTTAATATGCACCGGTAGACGGTGGCCATGGAATAAGTATCTATACAAAAAGCAAAAGGTCTGCTGAGAGGCATATTCGAAGCCAGCTTTTATTTGTTACAAGGGGATAAACTATCCTCGAACATGGCGGTGTTCAAATCTGGAAGTGTAGTGGTATGCTGATGTTAATCCACGATGTCTGGCTACTCTACTCTGACTAGAACCAGTTGACCACCGTAACTTGACACAAGTCTGGTTATTGGAGAGGCCCTTTTGGCAAGAGCTTTATGAAATTTTTTGAAATTTTATTGTTGAAATGTACACAAGTTGCAGGGCAGCGGCTGCACCGTTTTTGTCTTAAAGTTACCTTTATTTGTAAATAAAAAAACAGTCGTTTTCCACGGAACTATTGACCTATCGATAACTTTTCTTTTGCCAGCTAGCATTTATTGAAATAGCATTTTTGTGCTTATTTCCCAGACAGTTATACTGAAGTGTGAGTAAATAGACATACATATGACAATTCTAATGAGAAATGACTAATTTAAATTGAAAGAACCAAAAACAAAATATCATTTTAGTTATCTAAAAATCGATTATTATCAATCGCTAATAAACTATAAGATAAGAACTAAAATAATATTTTGTTTTTGGTTCTTTCAATTTAATTTAGTCATTTCTCATTGGAATTGTCATATGTCTATTTTACTCACGCTACAGTATAACTATAAGATAAATAATATAAACTATAAGATAATAACTAAAATAATATTGTACTACCGGGGCCGAAAAAAATCCACATAATTTCGAGAAATCGAGACCAATTAAATCATCAATTAATAAAATCGTAGCTAAACCTTATTATCAAACAAATATTTATAATATGGCTGGCAAAAATTTTTCCGATCTTAATAAATAAATACAATTTTAACAGAAAATATATTGAATATATGTTTTTTAAAAACTTTAGGTGGCAAACGCGCATTTAAATTGTTAAACAAAAAAGGCGTGCCTATCGATATTTTACGACCCAAACAAATACATTTCTGGTTTTATCGACACAGTTTTCTTTCTATAAATTTATGTAAACTACAATTATTTTCTGTAAACGCAAGAAAGAGGACATTAATAAATCTACAAAACATATATGCGAAAGTCCTTTACATTAACTCAAGTGAATAAGTGTAGTATGAAAGCGGCGTGCATTGTATATTAAGGAAATGTAATATACATATGTATATTCGAATACAGCAGTACCATTATTCTTATTTACCAGCAATCAAATTGCATTCATATGTAAATATTTTTTTAATTGATTTTGTAAAGTTTTATACATATGTATCAATTTGCTTATGTATGTGAGTAAATGTTTAGGCATGTACGGTACACCTACATATGTATCCACACACCATTATCTGGTGGCCTGAAAATTTAAGTACACTTTGTTCTAAAGCTTCAAATGAAATTTTTTTAACTGTTCAGAGATTGCTTAGTTTATTTTATTTTTTGTAAGTTATCTATATATATAATTATATATTCTTTTTATGTATTTTAGACGTATAAGCCAGTCGCAATATGGATAAAAAGATCTCATCAACATCGCAGCCCCGCATTTTGAAAAAGAAGCACTTCAGAGTAAAGCATCAAAAAGTTAAACTGTTTAGAGCCAATGAACCGATTTTAAGTGTGTTTATGTGGGGAATAAATCACACTGTATGTTAATAAATTTTAAATAAATAGCAAATATCAACAAATTTTAAATAATTACAGATTAATGAATTAAGTCATGTAAACATACCTGTAATGCTGCTGCCAGATGACTTTCGTGCTTATTCAAAAATCAAGGTGGATAACCACCTATTCAATAAGTAAGAATATATATATGTACATAGTTTAGGGATATAATAATTTATTGATGTTATTTACTTTTAAAGAGAAAACATGCCGTCACATTTCAAAGTAAAAGAATATTGCCCCCTCGTGTTTCGGAATTTGCGTGAAAGATTTGGAGTTGATGATGTTGACTACCGCGAGTCGTTAACTCGTTCACAACCCATACAAATAGACTCGTCTGGAAAGTCAGGGGCACAATTTTATCAAAGCTATGATAGGTTTTTTATAATTAAAAGTCTAACATCTGAAGAAATTGAACGTATGCACGCATTTTTAAAGCAATATCACCCGGTGAGTAAAGTTCAATTTTAATTATCAGAAATAATATAATATTCAAATTGATAGTACGTTGTTGAGAGACATGGAAAAACACTTTTACCGCAATACTTGGGAATGTATCGAATCACTGTAGAAAGCGTCCAGTATTACTTCGTTGTCATGAGGAATGTTTTTAGCTCCCACTTGACAATTCACAAGTATGAAATATGTTGAAAGTTATGCTTCTGATATATATATCAAAACATTTATTTTATAGAAAGTTTGATTTAAAAGGTAGTACCGTGGATCGGGAAGCATCGGAGAAGGAACTTGAAAAACATTTGCCGACTTACAAGGATAATGATTTCATAAAACAAAAAGTGAAATTGGACATTGGAAAAGAAGCTAAAGAAAAACTGATGGACACCTTAAACAACGATGTGGATGTAAGCAATATTATTTTACCTTTATCTCATATGCCTCTAAGCACTCATCGTCTACAAATGTACATGAACAGATAATTATCATTAAGGATACGAAAGTTCAAGTTGAACCTAATGTAGAAATTTCGCCTACAATTTACGAAAAACAGATATCAGTCAAATACCAAAGTAAACATCGCGATGCTTATATCGGGAAGTCGTTTCCAATACAAATAAAACATACGGATTTTGTATAAAATTTGATAAGTTAATGTTTAAATTTCAAAAGTAATCATTTTTCAAACTTAATATACGGAAGGCAACTTAATAATGATTTAATTTTTTACTTGTCTTTTATTAGTTTTGAAGCTTTTTTAAATACCATTCCTTCCAAAATCAATGATAATAAAAGAAGCAAACCCTTTCAGCAAAAAAACAATGTATCCATTGAAGCGACTACAGTTATATTGTTATTCGTATGCCTTGAAACACTGGTGCTATGCCGATTTTTCAGTATTTTTTTTAAGATTTTTACTCATTCGAATGACTTTAAAACTGCGGAACTAGATTGTGTAGAAACGGACCTGTCACACTTTTTAACAAATAATATGTAACAAATATGTGTCTGTTAGTTATTGCAAACCGCAGACGAATAGCCTACATGGTAATCCTTTATTTTGTTGAATCCATAAACTCATTTTCATATAGCTGTTGACGAAGTTGCACATCATGGACTATTCATTATTGGTTGGCGTACATGACTGTGTGCGTGCGGAGGAGGAAGCCTTACAAGGAGATAATATTCCAGCTGCCGGTCGCAGTGAGAACAGCGAGAGCGAGGAATGCGATAGCGGCGAACGGTAAATACAAATAATTAAATTTAAACTCAGTTATTATTCAGTATTTCTTGTTTTCTTAGCTGGACGTATAACACGCCACCAGATTCTCCAAGAGGTGCACAGTATAAAGAAGTTGTTTACGAAGTTGATATATATGACATTCCAAGTATTGAAGGTAAGCTTAGATTAGAATTTATCCATTCACTAGAAATGATATAGTAGATTGATATGCAATTCACTACGTAATTAAATATAAATTTTTCTTGTCTATTTGTGTCCCAATGAGAACAGAAGTGAAAAAAATCGAATTCGGATGGCCTACGATCACATAAAACATATGCAACAGATTTCCGACCCTTTAAATTATATATATTCTTGATCAGAATCGTTAGCTTAGTCGATCTAGGAATGCCCCTCTGTCTGTTCGTATGAACGTCTAGATTTTTGGTCAGTAATAGCACTTACCATACAACATATAGACTGGTCCTTTCTTACAACGAAAATGGACACAAAAATTTCTTAGCGGTCATGAAACAATAACATATAACATAGCTGTTCTTGTTTCTATCCGCCCTAAAATGCAATCGTCGGTAGGATATGCAGGCACCATCCGCTCCCAGAACAACAACCAAAGCTGATTTGGTTTCTTAACCACTTAAATGTAGTCGGTGTTTTAAGTGACACCGACTGCGATATGTCCTGTTTCTATCTCAGTAAATTGATTTCTATTAATTGGAATACATACATATATGCAAAACATTTTACTGCTACCACTGATTTGAATTTGTAAACAAAAATGAAATTTATGCTGAAATATTAAAAAATAAATTATTATTATTATTATTATTATTATTTATTTATCTTCCTAGCGCTAAAGTTAACAATTTAACTTAAAATAAAGCACTAGTCACAAAACAAAGTTTACAATCTTACAGAAAGTTTTACAGAATTACTTAAACATATTTGCAAGTTTTGATTATTATCCGTAGTACAATTTTGAAATCTTATCTATAGTTAGTTCTTGGATTTATAATTAGTTGTGTGTGGTTGTGAGTGTGGGTTAGTTATTTTTTAACATTAATAATAATTCTTTCCGAAACTGTCTAGCACTTCTTGTATTCTTTAAACTGTGTGGTAAATTATTCCAAAGCTTAACAGGCCATGCAAAGAAGTGATTTTCACTTGAGGAATAGTTGATTCTTGCGGGAATTATATTATTCGTTCTGGCTGATTGTGCAAAGTTGAGAAACGAAAACAAGTAATTTGGTTCCTTGGTCGTGACTATTTTGTGAAGGAGAATCAGTGTCCTAAATTCAACTAATGTGGAAAAGTCTAGTCCAAAGATTTGTTTAGCATGACTTGAAATTGAATCGTGTGGTTTAATATTGAAAATAAATCTTGCTATATTGTTGTATGCTACGGTTAATTTATTCCTACTTATTGAGTCACATTTTCCAAATATTTCAATGCAGTATAATAGTGAAGGGATTATAATCGACTTTGCTAATACCATTTTACTATGGGTTGGTAAAATACTCTGGATCAGTTTTAAGTGACGTAGTTGACAATACGTCTTACCAACTATATAGTTAATATGATTGGACCACGAAAGAGTGCTGTTGAACACAATTCCGAGGTTGTTAGCTCGATTTACGTATTCAATCTCATCAGTATCAACCTTGAGCCTTTGCAATGGTGCGTTTATTTCTTTTTTAAAAATTATCAAACATTTGGATTTATTTGAAGACCGTTATTCATTGCCCAATTGCTAACTAGTTTATGTTCACTATTACTGACATCAATACATTCAGATATACAGCTATATGGACGACTCACATACATTTGCATATCGTCAGCATACATCTGGACTTCACAATTAGACAAGACATTTGGAAGATCGTTCACATATATCGAAAACAGTAATGGTCCAAGGACCGACCCTTGGGGGACACCACGCTTAGTAAATAAAAAGTCTGAGGTCTCAGACTCCGTTACAACACATTGAGATCGGCCCATTAGGTATGTTCTTACCAAGCTTGTAGCTGGGTTTGAAAAATTATATAGTTTTTCTAACTTAGTACACAGAATAAAATGATCGACAGTGTCGAAATCCTTGCTATAGTCTAGCAGTGTTAGAAATGTAACTTGCCTGTCATCCGTTTTCATGCGAATATCCTCTGATATCCATGTTGTCGTGTATTCAACAGTGAATTATCGTGAAGATACAAATTAATTTGTGTGGAGACTAGGCGCTCAAATGCTTTGGATAGAAAGGAAAGTATGGATTTCGGTCTATATTCACCCTTTATTTTTGGTATAGGAAGTACTTTGGCTGTCTTCCAGCATGTTGGAAATGTAGAAGATGTTATTGCTGTATTAAAAATGTGTGTTGTATATGGAAGTAGCTTGGGGACAAGGATTAGTAAAAATTTTGGATGTATATTATCGAGACCCATTGCACTTGATTTTATATTTAACATGGACTGTAGGACATCACACTGACTCACACAAACAAAACTAAAGCTAGTATCACAGTTGTTGTTTGGCAATGTGTTCAGGTACGGGTTGTTAGTTTGATCAGGTACTAAAGGTTGAGATTTCACAAATTTAATATTTAATTCATTAGCATTAATATGGCAAGCTGTCTCTTGTCGTTGTTTTCCTACTCCACTACTACTACTACTGATATCGGACGTGAACCAAGTTTCGGAAACACAGATGACATCGACTTTTGAATTTTTGAATAGGTACCTGAACTCATCGATTTTATTAGTCAGACTTTGCGCATTTATGTGACATATTTTCAGACCATTAGTTTGTTTACAAAGAATTCTGATCAATGCATGGCTGTTAAAGTTTTGATTAGGCTCGATTGCAGACATAAGTAAACGAAGTATAAGTATTTTGAAGTGCTAAGACCTGGAACACACACGCAGTACCACACATAATATAATAAAAGTACAAATTGCAATTGAAAGTAAATATAAATATAACTAATAATACCTTAAAATGAACATTTAGAACATTTAGATGAACTGCATTAACGAAATAAATTAGGTGTCGCTCCATCCTTCCTAGAGTCAGTTTCAGCAGGTGTCTCATGACGATCAGGATTAATGTCGGTAAGGGCCTTCATGTTATCAATACATAGGACCTGATCACTGCCCGTCTTCTTTACGTGGACCATTGCTTGACGAGTGAAGACAGCCGATAGGACCTTCTGACGCTTCATGTGCATGGCTGCTTTAAAAATCCATAGTTGGTTTTAGTCAGCTGTTCGTTCAGATAGATTGGAGTGGGCGAATCTATGCCAACATAAACTGGCTTTTCGTTTCACGCCGTAGTGCACCCACGGTACGCATTAGGTTAGCCTTGTCCTCAATAATTTTTAACAAAATGGCGCCTTCAGAAAGCGAAAGTATCAATTTTTGACAAAAATTCACGACATCAATTGTTTATAAAATGAAAAATATTTATTGTAAAAGAAAAACCTTCGATTAATCACTAAACTATATTATTAAGAAGCTTCTGTTAAAATCTGAGACCGATCGGTTCAGCCGTTTTCGAGAAATCTTGCTCACCGACTTTAAAATCATAGTTTTGAGAAAAACGCATTCAATTTCGACGGTCCGCTTTCAGTCGCTCCGACACATGCATGTAAATTTTAATATAACTTGGGAAATATTCATCGGATCACCCTGAAATTTTTTCAGGGTACTCTTAAATAAATATACTTTACGAAAATGCAATAAAAACAAAATCGATTTTTCAAAATCCTAAGTGGATGTAACCCCTTAAGGTTAAAGCAAAGGGTGTGAAACAATGCCCTCACATCCTCGCCTTGATTAAATGGTACCTCATGAAGGCGGATATCACAAGCTACCCTTTCATTTTGCTGCAGCTCAGATGCCGACTTTAGGCGATTGACTTGGTCTCGCAAGGCCCGGATTTCCGCAACCTCACTCTCCAAACGCTAACTTATAATATTCTTCTTTTTATCATTAACCCAATAGTGAATACGCCCATATTGTTAGGGTACTCATTATGAAAAGTAGTTAAAGACAAAATATTCTTGCTGCATCGAATTGAAATAAACGCACACTTGCACCCCTGTATACGAATGCATGAACACGCATACATATAAAGCCCAAGTCAAGGTTCCAGGCTCAACCTTCTTCAAAATGCGCGTCTCTGCGACTGAACGACCGAACTCGTGCGAGCATCAAAATGAGAATAAGAATGAGAGCGCAAAAAACCCGGAGCACACGAATTGTCCGGGGCCTGCCGCTAAGGGCCGTGGGGCCTCCCGCAATTTTTGTGTCCATTTTCGTTGTATGAAATGACCAGTCTATATGTTGTATGGTTAGTGGTAATAGCTAGAGTTGGGATTAAGCATGCAAAAATTAAGAAGAGATCGGTTTACGGGTGTTATGTATTTATTTAATCAATATGTATCAACATACCACAAATTTTGCAATTCCAACGATTCTTTCAGACATTTTTAAGAAATAAAGTTTAACATGAAAATTTCCGGAACGCTATCAGGACCGCTAGATGGCGCTTTTTTACAACGCGACAATACATTTTTAAGCCGTCTGTTGGGGCACATTTCAATTTTGCGACCCTATAAAGTATTTATATTGTGATCTGCATCACTAATTGACATAGCCATGTCCATCTTTCCTTTTTTTCTATACCGGTTTCGTATTTTTTAATATGTACACTAATTAAGTTATGCCGAACGAGTTAAATTTAATTAAGCATCTATAACAAGATATATATATATTTTTTTTGCCAATTGATAAACTCTTGACTAGCATGTTATAGTATATAAAAATAAAGCAGAGTTGTCTACCACCACTCTTTTGTGATAGAAAACGAAACCGCAAATTTATTGTTAAAACATTTTTGTATAAATTTTATTCCAGAAAAACGTGAAATCTACTTTATAGCTATTATTGACGTTCTTACTCAATACGGTGTAAAAAAGCAGGTAATTGTTTTTTTCAAATAATATCTTGATTTCTTAGTTCAACTGGCATTATATGACATATATTTATTTTCAGGCGGCTAAAGCAGCCAAAACCGTTAAATATGGCAGTAATGTTGATGGTATATCGACATGTGACCCTGACCAATATGCCAAACGATTCCTGGAATTTATGGATAAAGCTATAGAATAAAGTATTATAACCATATTGTATTTGCCACATTCAAAATGTCAAAACCATATTTAAATAAGATAAAAGAAATATAAGATATCATTTCGAAGCTTCTGGAGGATGTTTATTTTCCGAGACATACGTTTTTGATGAAATTTCTTCATCAGGGTACTAATAAAAAAACAATAACTCGAATAGTTTTTGAATTAATTTTTCCCAAATACAACAAAACGGTTTATTTAAGTTTTTGGGATTTTCTCCAGATGAGTGTCAGTGGATTTCCAGACTCTTTTGTATATGCAATTTTACTAATTTGGTTAACGATTAGATTTAGAAGAAAACAAGAGAGAACGCTATAGTCGGGTGCCACGACTATCAGATACCCGTTACTCAGGTAAAGGGAGTGCGAGGGAGATGGAGATAGAAACTTTGATCACGCATAACTTTTTAACGAATGGTCCGATTTGAAAAATTTCTTCAACATTTCGATAGGTATTGATAAACACAATAAAACTGCATTTTTACTTTTCCGAAATATTTAAATTTTTAAAATCGTATATAAGCGATTGTGGGCGTTAAAGGGGGCGTGGCACCTTTTTGAAACAAACTTGCGCTGCGTAGGAACTCCTAGAATCTGCATGCAAAATGCCAATCTTCTAGCTTTTATAGTTTCCGAGATCTCAGCGTTCATACGGACAGACAGACGGACATGGCTATATCGACTCGGCTAGTGACCCTGATCAAGAATATATATACTCTATAGGGTCGGAAACGCTTCCTTCTAGCTGTTACATACTTTTGCACGAATACAATAAAAAAAGTAAAAGGGTATACTCTACGAGTAACGGGTATAATAATATTTATATTTACCTAATATCCTGTGAGGAGTTAAAACTCCCCACAAATCCCGACGGAGAGCGGGCTAGCAACAGCGAAGGAGGCGAAAATGAGGTAGGAGTCAAACGGAAATTGCATCCACACAAAGGAAAATTGACCTTTTTTCCAATTGGAAGCGATTGGGGCCCCAAGTGGCCCCAATAAGTCTTAGCAAATCAGTTTAAAGTTATTAGAATTTAATAAAAATGCATATTAATATTGTTAATCAGTGGCTTTGGCTCTGCGTGCGTTCCCAGTTTTCTTACTGATTGCTTTATATATAGAGGTAATTAGTATTCTTCTTTAACATTGTGCCAAGGGCCGGCAAGGTGAGGTGTACAGGTTATTAATACATCGATTATTTTCGTTAACAATGTAAACATAAAATTAGTGGACTGTATTTATACCCGTTACTCGTAGAGTAAAAGGGTATATTGTATTCGTGCAAAAGTATGTAACAGGTAGAAGGAAGCGTTTCCGACCCCATAAAGTATATATATTCTTGTTCAGGATCACTAGCCGAGTCGATCTAGCCATGTCCGTCTGTCTGTCCGTATGAACGCTGAGATCTCGGAAACTATAAAAGCTAGAAGATTGGCATTTTGCATGTAGATTTTAGGAGTTCCAAGATTGTTTCAAAATGGTGCCACGCCCCCTCTGACGCTCACAAGCCACAAGCTGTGGCCACAGTTTTGATGCTATTATGAAAATTTTAATTGATATGTATTTGTTTCGTCAATACCTATCGATTGGCCTAATAAAAGTTTGTCACGCACACTCTAACGCCCAAAAACCCATTAAACGATTGATAATTTGAACTTTTTGTCCTTTTTTCCTGTGGTCACTATAATTCACATTATGTTAAAAAAAAAAAAAACACAAGAAGGCATATTTATATTAAGTTGTTTAGCTGAGTAACGGGTATCTAATAGTCGAGGCACTCGACTATAGCGTTCTCTCTTGTTTTTAATTCGATATAGGTATTTATTTATTTGATTTTAACTTACAGGGGTGGTCAAAAGTATTTGCACAAATTACACGTACTTACTCATAAGAAATGTGCAAATACTTTTGACCACCCCTGTATTATAGGACCCCTCGCAACGGTCCGGCGAATGTAATGGCTTGCAATCGATGCCTTGTAGCACATTTTCTTATGGCATATATTACCATGATTATTGTTATTATTAAACCGATTCCTAAAGATGCATGTCCGGGAATATGATGAAAATGCAAATCTTTGAATTTAATTTGACTTTCTTTTAAATATTTAATTTCTTTATTTAGGCGTGCAATCTCAACAGTATGATTAATATAATCCAATTTCAATGGATCCCAAACAACCTTTGGAATTTGACTAATATCTCCTACATACGATGATAATAAAACTTCTTCACTTTCAGATTTAATAATATGATGGGCAAAATCTTATCATCCGTTCTAGCAGTACAATCAGGCGCAATACTTAGAATTCCTTGCGTTGGTAAATCAAGTAACTGAATTTGTGCATTCGTACACTGTACTCTTATCTTGGAATTAAAGGAAATCTTAAACAACCAACTACTTTTCTTTTTAGTCTTGTCCAATAAGATGAAGAATCTATTTCTGTTTTGTATATAGAGTTTGAAACTCTGTTTGGCTTAAGTGGTTGCACTTCACAAGAATTGTCATTCGCAGAATTCCAAGGCCGACTTCCTTTGCAAATTCTCTTATTTTGCTGCCATCTTTGGCACTGTCTTAAAGTTGATTCGGGCATTACGTGATAAGAATCGATTTCAAAGTTATAAATTAAATATTCCGAAGATATATGAACCATAATCATTCTGTCTTCGTTCTGTATTGGTAAAGGAATAATTCTAAAAAGCTTAGATGGATGTCTACCTAAACAGAGGAATTTTAGCATTTATAATCAACTTATTTTCGATAAATAATCCCCTAGCTGTCAAAAGCGCATAGACTTCCTTAAGCTCAGTACCTGTCTTTTTCCCTGGAAGAACTAATGTTTCGGAAAGGCTACCTTGAATTTTGGGATATCTCATTTTGTAATGGATTTGATTTAAGGATGTTTGTGTTTAATCTGCCATGATTAATGTCAATTAATAAACTTATAATAGCTGCCTGCACCCTTTCACCTTCTTCAATCAATGCGTTAAGTTGTTTGGTTATCATAAAGAAATTAATCGACTCCTTATAAACATACTAACTTTTTTTAAGAACTTCAGTCATATTTAAACTTTCTTTAAGAACTTCAGTCATATTTTCAATTCTAGTATGCATATTCTTAAAGTTATCGTTAATGTCTTCAGTCGTTTTCTCTAATAAATTTGTAGTGGAATCTACCATTGAAGTTTGCTTCTGAACTAACTCATTTAAATTGTGGTGATTGTCGAATAGATTTCTCATATTTTCTTCTAGTTGCTTCCTATCATCCTCATCCATTATTCCATATAAAATGTGATATAATGAACCCATGTATTCGAAAGGAGCACGTTTGCTTCTTGATCTCTTTTGCATCATGAAAAGATTATTATTTTTCTTAAGTTCTATTAATTGATTTTGCATATTATCTAAAACGATATTGCATTGATCCTCAAAGCTATGAAGCTTCCCGCAAACAATTCTCATTTTTTGAATTAGCACATTACTTTTCTGAATTATGTGAAAATAGACATCCATATTATAGTAAATCACCAGGCTCCATGATGCGCTTATAATTTCTACATCTCCTAGCGGATCTAAGTATATGGCAGCCGTGTTATTTATATTTTGAATGCTAAATGATTTATTCTCGTCTTTTATTGTTGCTGCTCCTGACACTTGACAGAACATTGTAAGCAATAGCATTGCCATGACAGTGCCTAATTTAGAGAATCTAGGTGAAACCCTTTATATACCCTTGCAGAGGGTATTATAATTTTGGTCTAAAGTGTGCAACGCAGTGAAGGAGACATCTCCGACCCTATAAAGTATATATATTCTTGATCAGGATCGCCTCCTGAGTTGATATAGCCATGTCCGTCTGTCCGTCTGTCTGTTTCTACGCGACCTAGTCTCTCAGTTTTAAAGATATCGAATTGAAACTTTGCACACACCCTTCTTTCCTTTGCACGCAGTGTATAAGTCGGAACGGCCGGGATCGGCCGACTATATCCTATAGCTGCCATATAACTGAACGATCGGTAATGCCATAACTTTGGTGTTTGTAAAGTTAGGAAGTTGGGATTTTCTATGGGTTTTATATTTGGCCAATCAATCCGACATACCAATTCATACCATTTCATAGGGATCGGCCGACTATATCCTATAGCTGCCATATAACTGAACGGTTGGAAGTGCCATAACTTTGGTCTTTTTAAAGTTAGGAATTTGGGATTTTTTTTAGTATTAAGAATGCATCATATGAATAATTTTGGAGAATATAATTTACAGAATATTCTGCAAGGGTATATCAACTTCGGCTCCGCCCGAAGTTAGCTTTCCTTTCTTGTTTTGTTTTCAACTGCCCTTTCCATAACATCCTCTGCTTGTTTTACACCAATTAAAGGTACGATTTTTGTTATCGGTCTTTTACATGAAGCTTTTCGGGTCTTAGCATTTACAACTGCCACTTTATCATCTGTACCTTCTTCTTCCAATTCCCAAAATCTTTTCAAGTCCTTGCACTCTATCGCGGTTGCAACTATAGTGTTAATTCCTTTTGATTTGGTGCATCCAAGCACTATCCAACCACAGTCTGTGTGTTGAGGCACCGATGTTAATAACGGACGAAGCAGTTTTAGGGATACAAATTTATGTAGCGGTCTTTATTTAAATCAAACTTTTAAATTATAATAGAGAGCTTTAAAAAACTTTGTGTTGCTGCCTCGCTGGTTTTTTCTCAAGTGGCGTCTTTTACGTAGAGTTACCACATCATACTTTGTTGGTGCTGCCATATCCACTAAGTGGCCAATTCGATTTGGCGGCAGGCTTGACAATTTAAATTACGGCGGCAACATTCCCCCCCCGTGAAGGTCCTTCGGATGTTCACTTTCCTTAAATCCGACGTCCAAGACTCCTATTTTGGCGACTGGGCGGATCATAGTTCCTTTTGGTGTCCAAATGGTAGCTCTGCGAACTTGCCCATCCTTGGCTGTTATTACGTCACTAATACGCCCCTTTGGTCACAGGTTCCTCGGTAGTTGATCAACAATGACGAGGACTACATCACCAACGGCGATTGGGAGGCTTTTAGTG